CCGCCACTCGCCTGACAGCAGTCCCACCACCCCCGTCGACGCCCCCGCCCCCGCGCGCCAGACTTTGCGCGCCACGCCAAGCAGCCCGGGTCCAACATCCTGGTGGAGCTGTCACCCCTGGTGGCCACGGCCCTCGACATGACGGGTGGGCCTCCTCGTTATTCTCATCGGGAGGGTGGGAAGCGGGGGCCTGTGTGGCGGCAGGGCAGGGGGGGCCTGGTCAAGGGATGCAGGGCCGTCTCGGTGGCGACCTTGACCACAGGGGAAATCAGGGATCCCGGCTTGCGGTCAAAAAGCTTGGTCCCTTTGATTCGTGATCCGCGGCGCTGCTGCTGAAGACCAGCCGCCGCCGCCGCCTCCATCGCCCCCACGCCGCCAGGCGTGTATGTCCACGGCCCAGACACCTGCCCCGTCTGCGCGCCCGCCTTTGAGCGTCGCATGGCGGCCCTCGCCGCCGCGATGGCCGCCGCGCCCGGCGGGCGGCTGCTGCGCCAGAGGCGGCGGCGGAGCGTGGAAGCTGCCGGGCCGCTGTACCTGCAGCAGGGTTACTTTTTGAGGCGCGCCGGGGGCGGCGGGCCCGACTGCTGCAGCGGAGGAGAGAGCATCGGTGTGACGTGCGCGGCGGAGGCGGCTGCAGACGAGGACAGCGGCGCAGGGCGGCGGACACGAGGCGCCGCGGCCGGGGCGCCGCCGGGCGGTGCGGGGCAGCCGCCGCCGCCGCCTCCGCCGCCGCCGCCGCGGTTGCGCCCCAAGGGGCGCGCGACGGCGCCGGTGACGCGGCTGCAGCGCGGCGTGCTGCGCACCAACTGCGTGGACTGCCTGGACCGCACCAACGTGGCGCAGTTTGCCTTTGGGCTGGCGGTGAGTCTGCAACCTCTGCGAATTTGTGTGTCGCCTGACTGTTTTGTGGTGTCACCTTTGGGTGCTGTAGCGCCGGAGGCTTTTGGTTCGTAGTGGGAGGTAAATGCAGCCTTGGCCGCAGTGCGCTCCCCCTCAACTGCAGTTCCCTTCTAGCTTCTGCCGTGCGTGGCCCGTCGAATGGCCCGTGTCAAGACGTGCGCGCCTGTCCCCGCGCAGGCGTTCGGCCGGCAGCTGCACGCGCTGGGCCTGACTGACGGCGACGAGGTGGACGGGGACAGCGCGGCGGCGTTCCACCTGATGGGGCTCTACGAGGAGATGGGCCACACCCTGGCATTGCAGGCGCGGGGGACGTGTGCGGTTTGTGTGTTTGTGCGGGTGGGGGTTGGGGGAGGTGAGTGGGGGTGGAGTGTGTGTGTGTG